CGGCGGTCAAACCGGCGCGGCAGGAGAAGAGTACTCGTGGTATTCTTCCGACAGGGACACCTGGGATTGGTCTAGGCCCGCGCGCGCGCGGCGGGGGCGTGGCTGCCGGGCGCGCGGCTGGCGGCTACAACCCCGACGTCCACTACCCGGGCTGCAGGGGCGACGAGTTGCAGGGATATTGGATCCATCAGACCGCAATTCGCTGGATGTCCCGTGAGGACAACGAGCGTCGGATGTGGCATTCTGTGCTTCCCGATGACTACGAGTACCACTTTCGGAGAACGCAAGGCAAAGGGTACTCCAAGAACAAGAACGAGGACAAGCGCGACAGGCTAGCTGCCTACGCTGGCCGTGGCAAGGGAGGCAGGGCAGCCTCGCCTTATTGGGCTGCTGACCAGACGAGAGGTTCGTCGTCTTCACATCCGAGACCACCGTCTCCGCCGTCGGGGCGATACCTATAGCACAACAGGTGAGGGCAGGCAAGGCACGGGCGACACAGTCGCCACGGGCGAGGCCGAGCGACAAAGTCGTTTCGGCAGAGAGTTTTTATTTAACAATTGGTGGGATTCGTCGGGTTTCTCCGGCCCTCAGCCCCCTGGCAACCACCGTTGAGCGGTAAAATGCTTTTGGGGTTCGCTCCGGTGGCTGTATATATGTGCAGGCCAGGCGGGCTGTGGCTGGTTAGACTCTGCAAAACCAGCCGCGGGGGGAGTAAATATGCTCCTCTCCGCCTCATTCTGCACTTGCCTCTCCTGCTGCCTGCCTTGTCCTACCTTGACATTGATATGCAGCTGTTTGCTGCTCAAGCGTGAAAAGGAGCGCGCCAGCCTTCGGCCTGCGCCCGTCGTCGGTCGTCGGCCGGCCGGACCTCCTCCCTTCCTATACTTGAGTGCAGTTGCTTAACGGATAGTCTCATCGATGTCTCATCCCGTATCCTCTACTACTGAGCAGAGACAACATGAGACCTTAGTTCCTTTGGCATCTTACCCCGATTCTCAGAGGAAAGACTCCATCATCATCGTCAGCAGCATCAGTGCCATCATCATCTCCACCATCGTCATCATCAGTATCAACATCATTGTCTTCATCATCATCGCCATCATCTCACTACCATCAGTACCATTACCATAATCATCATTATGATCATCATCATCCTTGTCGTTCTCAGCATCGTCAGTGTCATCGTCATCGTCATCGTCATCGTCATCATAATAATAGTAGTCATACTAATAATGAAAATGATAATAATACGAGTAATATTCATACTAGTAACAATAACATCAATAGTAATACTAGCAATAATACTATTAATAATCATATTAATAATACCAACACTACTAGTAATACTAATGATAATAATACTATTAATGATAGTAACAGTAATCGTAGTGATAGTAATAATAATAGTAATACTAAGACTAATAATACTACTACTAATAATAATACTAGTAATACTATTAATATTAAAAATAATAATACCAATAATAATAATATTAATAATATTATTAATATCAATAATAATACTGATAATACTAATTATTATAATACTAATAAGCATAATAATAGTACAAACAATAATATTCATCATCATCATCATCATCATCATCATCGCCCCGCCCCGCCCCGCCGTCGGATTCGATTTCTTCCTCCAGCGGTCTTCGGGCCTCTTCGTCCCGCCGCCCCGCCCATCTGCTACCGCTGCCCTGCCGCGCGCTCCCCCTCCGTGCGCCCCTCGGCCCCCTCAGGTCGGCGTCTGGTGGTGTGTGTTTTCGCATTACAGCTTCAGGCGGGGGCGTGGGGAGCGCAGCGGCTACTCTCGGCAGAGCGCCGAAGGATGAAGCGAGAGGGCACTGGTCTCCTCAGAGGGCGGCGGGGCTTTTCAGGAACCCTCTGGCCTTCTCGGACGCCCTGCGTGGCTTCGGAGAAGGGTTGGCAGGTTGCTCGGAACGCCTGAGGCCTTCTAAGGCCCGCCCCTTCTACAGTAGAAACTCATGCCAAGAAGCACCCTGCTTGCCTCCGGAGTGTCCTTGGTTTCTTAGGTTTCGATGGTGTTGCGATGGAAGGTGTGACGTTCGCACACCAAAAATCAATGGACGTCCTGGGGTCTCAGGGTTGGGTTTCTTGTGGAAGGTTTCTTGTGGTCGGTTCCCTGTTGTACCTTCCTCGTAGGCGCGCCGCCGACTCTCTGGAGATATGCACCGCTTCGGGAGGGACACTGCCGGACATGCGCTCCGTCTGCTCCTGGGCCGTCTTGTTGGTCTGTTTTGGAGCAGTGTGCGGACCCCACTGGGCGGTCTTGGCGCCCTCGCCTGGGGCCCTCGTTCGCCGTCTTGGGCCCTTTTTGGGGCTCGTTGCCTTATGATTGTGTTTGGTCCCTCCTGGTTCCTTCGGATTCTGTAGCGTTCCTCAAGATTCCGAGTGATTCTTTCGGTTTCCTGGGGTTCTTTGGGATCTCATACGGTTCTTCATGGTATTGATTTGTGTTCGCTAGCCGTCCTTGGGATCCCCTTCTCAGGATCCTTGATGATTCCTTCGGATTCTGGAGGGTTCCTGGGTATCCCGTCGGATTCTTTAAGGGCCCCTCGCGTCTACGTCAGATTTCCGATGATCCTTTCGGCTCCGGGTTCCGTAAGGGTCCTTCGGATGTCTTTGGGCTCCTGAGGGTCCTTCGGGACCCTTCAAGATTCTTCTAGATTCCACAGTTCGTCAGGATTTTCCAGTGTCCTTGAGATTCCCGAGGATTTCTTGGATCCCGTCTGATTTCCTCACAGGATTTGGAACTATTGAGGATATCTTGCGGCTTCTTCGGGTTCAGACCCTTAGTCCCTTCATTCCTGTGTGAGATTCGAGTCTCGAGGCACGTCGTTTGGTAATGTTTCCAGTATCCGTTCCCGAGACTCTCTGAGCTTAAGTATACAGAGGGGTAAGTTGTTTGCCCAGGAGGACGGGTCGTACCCATTTTGGCTCAAGACCCATATCCTACTCATTCTTACGAACCCTTCATTTCCCATCTCTAATTCTTCCCCCCCGGTTTCTATTTACGCATTGGACTGTACTGAGAGATTGTGCGTGTGCGACACGCTGTTGTGGTGAAAGGGCAGAGCATCTTCATCCTCACGGCTGTCGCCTGTCGTGCGACAGTGGTAGCGGAGCGTGACGCTCCAGATTCTGCGGGCCGATGGCGGCAGCGACGGGGACGTATGATAACTCTGAGTCACGCCTAGCGTCGGGGGAGCCAAGCACAGCTCAAGAGGCAGCAGTGAGTATTCTCATGGGAAAGGGTCTTGATATATATCCGTAAGGGCTTCGCCCCCTGCCGCCGGCCCCCTCTCTCGGAGAATGGGCCATGGAAAAGCTAAGTCATGAGGCTTTGGCGCTGTCGTGCAGCAGTATCGGAACTTCATGCGAGGCCGATTCGCCATCGGCAAAACCAACTGATCACAAGAGGGGTTACCATACAGGGCGATTGGTAAGACGTGTATGGTTTACGAGCTTGGTTACCACACCTTGGGATTAAAGGGCCGAGGGAGTACTCGCAGTTTGGGTTACCACGCCTTGCGATGGATGTGCGTGAGGGGTGGCACCGACTTTCAGGAATGTGGCAAATCCCCTGTGTTTTTGGACCCTGACCCCGCGGATCTGCGTGAGGGGTGGCGCCGAATTTTAGAAATGTGGCAACTCCCCTGTGTTTTTGGACCCTGACCCCGCGGATCTGCGTGAGGGGTGGCGCCGAATTTTAGAAATGTGGCAACTCCCATGTGTTTTTGGACCCTGACCCCGCGGAACTGCGTGAGGGGTGGCACCGAATTTCAGAAATGTGCAAATCTCCTGCGTTTTTGGACCCTGACCTCGCGGATCTGCGTGAGGGGTGGCACCAAATTTCAGAGATGTGGCAAATCCCCTGTGTTTTTGGACCCTGACTCCGCGGATCTGGGTGAGGGGTGGCACCGAATTTTAGAAATGTAGCAAATCCATTGTGTTTTTGGACCCTGATTTCGCGGATCTGCGTGAGGGGTGGCACCGAATTTTAGAAATGTGGCACATCCCCTGTGTTTTTGGACCCTGACCCCGCGGATCTGCGTGAGGGGTGGCACCGAATTTCAGAAATGTGGCAAATCCCCTGTGTTTTTGGACCCTGACCCCGCGGATCTGCGTGAGGGGTGTCGATTTCGAGCCCACCCAGCAATTCAGACAACGCGCCCAGGGGGTGCTAAAAAGTCCTGTTTGGGCCTCCCCCCTCCTCGCGCGGTCAATCAACTAGTTACAGTAACCAGCGAGAAGTCAACTAGTTACGGTAACCAGCAAGAAGCAGAAGTGTAACATTGGAAGCTAGAAACTACAACTGGTACAGGAAACTGCGAATCACGCGCCTACAGCCTGGTGGCCCCGCAAGGGGGCCGGCGGATTTCAACCGAGACGGCACAGCAGCTGGCTCAGGAGATGATGGCGGCGATGAGGAGTCACGGCGAGAAGCCGAACGACCACCAGGAGGGCGATGACTCCGCGGATCGCAGGGACTCACATCGTACGTGGAAGGATGACCGACGGTGGTGGACCGGCTGGAGCGAGGGACCAGCGGGCGGCACCCTTTCGGCGGCCGGTGCAACGTCGAGTAGTGCCATTGGCACGCAGACGCACCAAGGCTCAGGGACCGAGGCCGGGTCGGGCGATCGCTGGCAGGAGACGGGAACCGATTGGGACCCGAAGGGCAGCGACGACACACGTGGCTTCGACGAATGGCCCAGGCAGGGCGCAGACCCATGGTCTCGCGCCGGCGCTCATTGGAGCGACGACAGATGGGAGCCAGCCAGCTGGAGAGCTTCGAACTGGGGTTCGGTCTCGCGCGAGCGAGATCGTGGAAATGAGCGGGGATGGTCGTCCGGATGGAACCATTGGGAACCCGATACGGACAAGCGCAACTCCTGGGATGACCATCCTCGCGGCAAGGACTATACCGACCCCGAGAAGTGGGAGAGCTGGACCAACTAACGGCTGTGGAGGCGCAAAATCCAGAGATGGCGCCGCACGACCGACATCGCTCGCTGGAAGCAGGGGGGCCGGCTGTTCAAGTCCCTGGATGCTGACCTGCAGCGCAAACTCGAGGACATAGACGACGAGACGCTGTGCAGCGAGCGAGGAGTGGATGTCGTTCTCGAGCGCTTCGATCTGATGTCAGGAGAGCGCCGCGGAGACGAGCGACGGAAAGTTGCTCGAGAGTGTCTCTTGGACTACAGCAGGCGGCACAACGAGAACCTGACCGAGTACTGCGCCAGGATCGACGCTGCGTTCGACCGCGTGGCCGTCCAGGGCCTCGCGCTCCCGGGCGACCGGGAGCTCGTGCTCCTTATGAGGGTGTCGGACTGGGCGAGAAGTCAGCACAGCTGGTCAAGATCTCCACGCGGGGAGAGCGCACCTACAAGGCGGCGCTGGCGGTGATCAGGGAGATGGACATCAGCCATCGCGAGCGCCTATCGGCCAAGGGGAAGACCAACGTGACGGTGGAACCAGACGCGCCTCCAGGCGCGGTTCCGCCTCCCCCGACGCCTCCAGCGTCCTGGCAGGTAGAGATTGGCGACGACGAGTCTCTGCTGGACTATTCCGACGTCTCCTCGATGAACTCGGGCGGCGAGATGGCTGCGTGGGCCGTGCTCGAGGCGGCGGGCGTGGGCGAGGGCGATGCCCCGGCCGCCCTCGCGGCCATCAACCAGGACCGCCGCGAGACATGGAAGGAGAACAAGGAGCTCAAGAGGCGTCTGAAGGTCGACCGGAAGTTCTTCTACCGCAGCGGGGCTCGCGGCGCGGATGGGCGCGAGACACCTCGCGGGCCCGGCCGCGGAGCAGCGGATGGCGCGTTTCGTCCTCGCAAGAACCGCCTGCCCTTGGCCGGGCTGATCAGGCGCACGCGGTGCAGGATCTGTCACGAGAAGGGCCGCTGGTCGAAGGAGTGCCCCGGCAAGGGCGGCGGTGGCGCCGGCGCGGTCAAGCCCGTGCAGCAGTCCATGGGAGGCGGCGGCTCGTACTTCACGGGCCGCAGCTTCATGCGCGTGAACGCGCTGGACGGCTGCGACCAGACCTTTGAGGGATCGGCTCCGCTCCAGCCCCCATCCAATGCTGAAGTTCTGTTGTCTGTGGGGCCCAGGGCCATGGTAGTAGACGCGGCGGCTGGTCAAGGCTTGGTCGGACAACCGGCCTTGGGCAGGATCGAGCGGCATTGGGCTTCAGAGGGGTTCGCGATTCCCAAGGTGCCTGCTCGGAATCCTAGGGCCTGGGGCGTGGGCGGAGGCGTTCAGGTCTCGGGCGCCGCCCTCGTTCCTCTAGGTATCGAGGGCCGAATGGGGGTTATCGAGCTCGACGTCCTATCAGAGGGCGTGCCCCCTCTTTCGCCGATAGGGTTTCAGGAGATGCTCGGAGGCATCGTCGATCTCCCAGGCAGTGTCGTGAAATTTTCAAAGCTGGGGGTCAACGCCGAGCTGACTCGTCTTCCGACGGCTCACCGTTCGATTCAGGTGGGCAAGTTTTCCCAGTCCGCCAGGGACTTCGAGCCTCCGGAGTCAGTCTTCTGGGCGTATCCGCAGCTGTCGCGGGGCGCGTTTCAGTCCAGGGGAAAGTGCATGGCCCCCTCTTCCATTTCCCTGTCTCTCCTTCTCCTCCCGCTCCTCCCGGCTTGAGGCAGGCTGTGACGTGTCTGGGGGGATAGTGGGGCTGCTGGAGAAGCTCGAGGGGTGGGGTCAGGGCCGAAGTGAAAGCTCGGGACTCGGAAGACCGGTCCGAAAGCCAGGGGCGCCAAGCATCGGGTGAGGTTTCGGACCTAGCTGAGATCGATTTCGCAAACGAGCTAAGGACCGAAGCTGCTAAAGAGCATTCGGCGTTCACCTCGGGACTGATGGAGGGCGCGACCTCGAGCAGTCTTCATCTTCCAGCAGCGCCTGGGCTCAAATTCGTCTTGAGACCCGGACACTTCGACGACCACCGTCCAGAGCAACGCTCAGCAGACGATGCCGCCGAGAGCGATGTCGTCGCGCTGGGCCAAGGGGGAGCGCCCAACCACCATGGCCGAGCGTTTGACGGAGGAGAAGGAGCAGGCCTGGGTCTACGGGGCGACAGGCTCCTGCGTGCCAGAGGGCTTCAACAAGGGACAGAGCGGGTGGGCGGTTCTCACGTCGTGGGTCCTGCTCTGGTCGACTCGCTTGGCGGAGGAGTTCGGAGCCGTGATGCGCGCGAAACGCTTCTGGCCAACCAACTTGCCGAAGAAGCTGCGCAGGCTCCCGGAGGGCTACTTCAAGTGCTGGCATCCTCCCACTCCTGGTCAGCGCCGTGGCCAACTCACGGGGGCGCTGGATCACGTGCGCCGGCTGTGCGATGAGGGTCAGCTACGCGGAGCTGAAGCCGATGGAGGGGGCGCCGAAGGAGGATAATATGTGCCTGTGCAAGAAGAAGGACGCGGCGTGCCTACTGCGCGGCCAAGGCTGGGCGCAGCATGGAGGAGGGGCCACTTGGCAGGCGCTCATTCCGGCGCCGAAACCTCCGCCAGGAACGGACCGGGGCCCTCTACCTGTCCACTCAGGGATGCTGGTGTACGTGAACCGCTCCGAGAACGAGCACTCGAGCAGCTGCGCCAGGGTGGCGGACTCGGCGGCGGTTGCAGTGTCGAGTCCTCAGAGAGACGAGGCCTTCCTCAGGGATGTGATGACGGCGCAGCAGGCGGCGCAGCGCCGCGCCGAGTCGGCGAAGCGCAAGATCGAGGCGATCTTGCGACAAGATGGAGGCGGGGCCCCCGGCCGATAACGATCTGGCCATGCAGGCCAAGATGGGGCAGGAGATGCAAGCGAAGTTCGACAAGCAAGTCGAGGAGATGAAGGCCATGCTGCAAGGAGTCGCGGTGAACCGGCAGTCCCAGGGCGAGGGTCTGGCGAAGGTCAACAGCACGGTGCGAGCAGATGAGGGCCCTGGCGACGATCCGCGGCGAGGCTCAGGAAGCGAGTCGCCTAGCCCGGAGCTTGCGGGGCGCGGCAAGCGGCGAAGCCGGTCTATCGCCGATGAGGGCAGGCCAGGGCGCAGCTGCATCAGTGGGTCCATCGCTGACGGATCTGCCGACGGCTCCAGTGGCGCCACCAACGTCATCACCGGCGGCGCCGATGACGAGGCCAAGTGCGCAGCCGCCGCCCCAGATGGCGGCGGGGCCGACCCCGGCAGGAGCGTCGTGGTCGTGCATCGGGGCGGCGCCGCTCGACCCGGCCAAGCTCGCGCCGGCGATCGCGAGGGGCGTCCAGGAGCAGAAAACGGCCAGGATGGAATGAGCGCCGGCGCCCTCAGCGGCACCGTCGCCTGGCCGCTAGCTACCCCACCTATCCGACCGCGGGCGCGAGGCAGCAGCTGAACCCGCAGGAGCTCTATGACGCGCAGGGGAAAGCTATCCAGGACTCGATGGGGACGGTATCGAGCTTCGAGATCCCGCCCGCGGACCCGCTCATCGCGGCCTACGACCAGAGCAAGGGGAAGGCAAAGGGCTCGGCGGCCAGCCTTCATGCGGCGGATGCAGCTGCGCAGAGGGAGGCCAAGACCCTGGGCGACCCGTGGGCCGGCGGCGAGCCCGCGGTGCCCACGCGGGCGCCGAGCCGCGAGAAGGACGCGCTGGGGGACCTACGACGGCCAGGGCAAGTGTCGCTGAGCGGGTCTTCCTCTCAGGAGCTGCGGGTCAAGAATCTGTCGGGGGGCCGAGGTTTTCGGTCAGGCCAGGGGAAGGTCGTCGTCGCTCGGTGCTGGGCGCGCTCGATGAACTTGGGGCGGTTCCGAGGCTGAGTGGGGATTCCGGGGAAATCCTCTTTTCCATGGGCCACTGGGCCAAGACCATTTCGGGGGATACGTTCAACGACGACCGCGAGGTTTTCATGGCCGAAAGTGAGGGAAAACAGCTTCATGCCCTGCGCAGCGATCGGAAGGTCAAGTCAGACCTCCGGTCCAGATCCTTTCTGGAGGTGTCTTCGCTTCCGCGGGTGGCCGCGGTTTTAGGGGGAGCTGGCGTGCGCGCTCCTGGGGGCCTCGTCCTCGCGACCGGATGGGACCTCGACAGGAGAAAAGATCAGGGCCAAGTTACCGAGAAGGTTCAAACCGAAAAACCTTGGACGGTTTTACTCGAACCCCCACGTGCTGAGTTTAGTCCGATCAGGGAGCTGTTTCGACCCACTTCCCCAGAAACCCCGGAGGAACAAGCCTGGAAGAAGAGGCAGGCCCTGGGCTATCTGTCCTTTTGCATGCGCATAGCGCTCGTCCAGATTCAGGGGGGCAGGCGTTTTGTCTTCGAGCACCCAAATGGAGCCAGTTCCTGGAGGGCGCCTGCGGTGAACATGATTCGCAAGCTCCCGGGGGTCCAAGAGGTCGTGCTTGATCAATGTGAATTTGGTTTGAGCGTCAAGAAAGGGACTCTATCTAAAAAGGCCACTCGTATCATGACCAATGATCCCCCCTCTTTCGTCGGCTTTCAGGGGGTGGCCACGTGCGCCGCCAGCTGGAGGGGGGGCGCATCACTAGAAAATCCCAGGTTTACCCTCCCAAGTTGAGTCAGGCGTTCGCTGAACCCGTCCTGACCAGTATCGAGGAGCAAGAAAGCCACTTCACCTTAGAGGAAATGGTGGAGAGATGCCAGGAGTTCCCAGGGTTGCAAGAGCTGGAGACCTATCCGGAGGGTCTCGACGAGGGCCCAGGGCAGGCCCGGCCTCCGACGGACGGCGCGGAGGGCGAGGAATGCGCGGAAGGAGGAGAGGCCACCGGGGTCCCGGCGGGAGAGCACGAGATTGATATCAACGCTCCCATCAAGCGTCTCATCCACAAAGTGCACGTTACCCTAGGGCACCCTAGGAAGGAGATTTTTCCGAAGGTTTTGTGGGCGGCGCACGCCCGCCCGGAGATCGCCCGATTCGTGAGAGATGAGTATGAGTGTGCGGACTGCCAGGCCCGGGTCCAACAGGCCGGACACCGGGCCGTGGCCATCCGTAGGACTGTCCAATTCAACGAGGTCATAGCTGTAGACACCTTCAATCTCTCCTTTGAAGGGGCGTGTGCCACGGGACCAACCTTCAGATCGTGGAGGTGTTCGATGGGTCCTCGGATGGGGGCCTGGAAGGCCTTCGTGAGGGCCTGGGTGGGTCCGTTTGGCCCCCCCGAAATGTTGCTGTTGGACGGGGGGCCAGAGTCCGAGGCGCACTTCGAGCGTGGCCTCGAGCACCTCGGGGTTTTCCACCGCGTGGTGGACTCGGAGAGTCCATGGGGAAACGGTAGGGCTGAGAGATGCGCGGGGTGGGTGAGAGAAATCCTGGTCAGGGCGTCGGAAAGCTCGGTAGTCACTACTCGGGCGAAGTTGGAGACTCTCCTGCGCGAGGTGGTGCCGGCGAAGCACCGATGCCTGCGCCACGGCGGGTATAGCCCGTTTCAGCTCGTGTATGGCACCAACCCTCGCCTCCCCAACGACCTCCTCTCGGGCGACGGAATCCGCCAGGTTTTTTTTGGGGGGTCCTGTGCAAACGGCCTGGGGCCAGGGCGCCGCCGCTGCCGACTATGCCCGGCAGCGTGCCATTCGGGATTTGGCGCGACAGGAGCTGTTCCGCACAACGAGCAAGCGGAAGCTGGCGGAGGCGTCGAAGGCCAATGTCCACCCGGACTCCAGGGTTAACCCCGGCCAGTGTTTTTTTTTGTGTGGCGGCGTGCTCCCCCTCAGAGCAGCAAGAAAACTTGCGCGCTTCAGCGCGACCGTTGGGTCGGCCCAGGTCTGGTGCTGCTTCAGTCTGGCAACGCTGTGTGGGTGGCGATGCGGAATGGGCTTTGGAAGTGTTCCAAGGAACAGGTTAGACTCGCCACCGCTCCTGAGTCAAGGGGGGCCGAGGTTATGTCAGACCCTTGGGTGCAACGCCTCCTTCGTGTGGCTCAGGTCGGGCTCGCGGTGGTCGGGGTCAATGTCGCCGCCGAAGGCCCCCCCCCCCCCCCCGTGAAGCGTGGGGGCCAGGACGCAGCGTCGAGGTGGATCCGCCCCCGATCACCAGTGCCAGCCCCTCAGCCTCGAGCCGAGGGTGCTGGCGGTAACGTGGTTGGGCCCCTCGGGCCCCCTTCCCCCCGCTTTCCGGCTATCCCGGAGGAAGGGGGCGTGGCCTCGGAAGCCACTCGGCCCGGGGTCCCGGGGAGTGCGCCGGTGGTGTCTACGATTGACGATCGCTTGTCCCCGGTCATCAGGTCCAGGCAGGTCTCTACCGACGAGGAAGAAGCGGATAGGACGCGCGCCTACCGCGGGGTGGGCGACGAGGATAGGGTCAAGGCCCCGGGCGAGCCGAAGAGAGCCTCGATCTCCCTCTCCCCTCTGGTCTGGCCCAGGCGTCTGCTGCGGACTCTACCGCCGCCCAGGCTTCAGGATCCGCTCCTTCTGTTCCCGCTTCCATCTCGAGCGCCGGACAGGTCCCGAACGCTCCGTCGTCTGACAGGGCGCCCAGTGGCCAGAGGTTTATGGATGGGGTTGTCTTGCGGAATGAAATCCTGGATTCAGGCATGCGTCGAGCTAGCCAGAGGTCCACTCGGCTAGGGGAAGACTTCCGGGGAATGCCTTCAGGAAGGGTTCAAGAGCAGATCAGGAACTATGAGGACCGGCAGCCCGTCCGCAACCGCTTTAGATCTCCAGCCGCTGCTTCTGAGGTGGCCGGTCAGGCCCAGCCGATGGAGGCCGATGTCGGCGTCGCGCTGCAGGGCGAGGAACTGTGGGCGCTCCCCGGGCTCGAAGACGCCCAGCTTTGCACGTATTTTTGCAGACTTGGACGCGGCCATAGGGAGCGAGGGGTGGAGCGGGGATTGGAGGAGCTATCATAACGGAAACGCTGCTGTGGATATTATTCAGGAAGGGGAAGGCCAGTCGTCCCAGGTCTCTCTTTTTCTCCTTGCTAACCGAGGGTGCGAGGTCCGACTCAAGGATCTCGACGCTCAAGAGCGGCAAGATTTCGCTGCGTCTGACTCTCTGGAATGGAAGAGCATCGTTGAGACGAAGTCCGTCAAGGTGCATTCCCCGGTCGAAGGAACAAGAACTCAGAGCCCTCTTCCCCAATCGGGTGGTTTCGAGTCGGATTGTCCGCCGTTGGAAACCACAGGGCAGCGTGGGGGATCGACCCAAGGCCAAATCGCGTTGGTGTGTGCGGGGCCACCTGGGCGAAGATACGTGTATGCACCTACACCGCCCATGGAGTCGCTATTTTTTGTTGTGTTGTTTTGTTTTGTTTTGGTGTGTATATATATGTATATGTATATATATATATATATATATGTATGTATATGTATATATATATATGTGTGTGTATATATATATATATATATATATATATATATATATATATATATATATATATATATATATATATATATATTATAGCGATTTCGCTAATGTACGACCTTGAGGTCCAGATAGGCGACACCAAGAATGCGTTTTGCCAATCGGACCCCCTTAAGCGACCAAGAGGACTCTTTGTTGAACCCTGTGAGGGGCTCAACCTCCCGGCAGGCGCCCTCACTGAGTTGGTGGCTCCCGTCTACGGCCTGGACGATGCGCCCCTGGCTTTTCACGAGACGTCGGCTCGGTTTCTCGAGAGTGAGGACTATGTTAGGACCAAGCTCGAACCTTGTTGGTTCGCTTCGCGTAAGGGTGATCGCTTGATCTCTCAGGTGTTTCTGGAGGTCGATGATTGGGCGATAGCCTACCCCCCGGCCAAGAACATAAGTATCCCCCCGGATTTCGAAAGCGATTCAAGTTCGGAAATATGGAGAAGCTGGACGAAAATCAGGGTATAATACATAGGGCGCAGGCCTAGACGATCAGGGCATGGGGCTAATTCCAGGATTCTCGTGGGCCAGGAAGTACATCTTAGAGCAACTTCAGAAGGTTCCCATGTCCAGGGGTAGGCGCGGGGACCGTAGCAGTCCTCTTATCGGCTCCGAGGTGGCCGAGTTTAGGCAGTCTGGTCTACAATCTGAGCTGGGTGGGTCGTGAGTGCCCGGCCGAGGCCGCCGGCGCGGCCTCCATACTGGCTACCAGAGTCAACTCTCCGTGTGTCAGGGACCTTCTAGAGGCTCACAAGATGATGGGCCACCTGCGGTCGACCGCGTCTTTGCCGGTAGTCATCCACCGTTTTGATCCGAAGCGGTTCATCTTTGCCGCGGCCAGCGACTGCGGCGGCGTCGGGCCCGACGACTGTCAGTGCCCGCAGCAGGCCCGGCAAGTTTATACGGTTGACAATGCACTGGCACATGGATTGCGCGCCAGAGCCACTCCCTTAGCATGGCGGTCGTGTCGTGTCAAGAGGCAGGTGGCCAGTGCCCTGGCGGGGGAGACTCTCGCTCTCTCTGGGGCGCCGGTGGAAGCGCAGTGGCTCCATCTGATGTTTGAGAATGTGACGAGGGGGAATGTCGTGGCGGAAACCTGGCAAGATCAGATCGGCCCCTTCGCCGCTCTGCTGCGCCAGGATTGCGAGCTGACCTCTTCCGCCTCGGCCGACTGCCTCAGCATCGTGGATGCTAAAGGGATCTTCGACACCCTCAGGAAACTGTCAAACGGATCCCGTTCGGATCGCACGGAAACGATAGACTTAGCGGTCGTTCGTGACATCATGTCGGAGATCGGAAGCGTTATCAGATGGATGCCCCATCCCCTCCTCCCAGTCGACTGTATGACCAAGTCCGACATGGCTAAGACTAATGCAGCTCAGTTCGAGTTGCTTCGGTCAGGGTGCCTTCGCCTGGCCTCCGAGGGTGGAACTCTCGAGGGCCGCAAGGAAGACCCATGGAAGAAAGCGAGGTCCCGGGCCGCGTCCCAGAGGCGATTCCAGCAGCAGGAGGGTGGAGCCGACCAGCCAGCCGAAGGTCGTTTCACCGCCAAGTAGAGTTCTACGTTCGGCGAGACAAGTGCCCGGCGCGGGCGCGCGGTATGTCCAGTGCGCAGACGGGCGCCCACAGATGGCGGCAGCGAGTTGAGTTTTAAGAAGAGCCGGGTCGCCCCCCCTTTCCTCCAGTTTTTGCAGGGGCCACAATTCCCTCTTAAGCTCATTATTTTTCGGGGCACTGCGAGATTCGAGTCTCGAGGCACGTCGGGTAATGTTTCCAGTGTCCGTTCCCGAGACCCCCTGAGCTTGAGAAGTTTTCAGAGGGGGAAGTTGTTTGCCCAGGAGGACGGGTCGTACCCATTTTGGCTCAATACCAATATCCTACTCACTCTCACGAACCCTTCATTTCCCATCTCTACTTCCCCCCCTCCCGGTTTCTATCTAAGCATTGGACTGTGCTGAGAGATTGTGCGTGTGCGACACGCTGTTGTGGTGAAGGGGAAGAGCATCTTCATCCTCACGGCTGTCGCCTGTCGTGCGACACCTGCAGATTCTTTAATGTTCTTCCGTTTTCCGCAGGGTGCCTTTGGGTCCCTCAGGATTATCATGGATCTTTGGGATTCTCAAAGGCCAGTTGGAATCCCATGTATTTCTTTGGGTCCTCTCGGATTCATTCGGATTCCGTTGGTTCATTAGGACCCTTTGGGATCTCTTAGCTTGTGGGGCTCTTCGTGGATTCATGAAAATTCCTTGGGCATTTCTTCCAACCATCTTGTGGTGTGGGTCCTCGTTTTGAAGAGGGCGCCCCGCGTTCCTCTCCTCCCCCTCCCCCTCCTCCGCCTCCGCCTTCCTCCTCCCGTCCGCCTCGTCACCTCCCTGCGTTTCACCCACCCAGGACAGCGTTTCGTGGCCCCATAGGGAGTTCCACCGACGCTCCAGCGGCAGGTTTCGCAAGTGCCCCCCCCGCCCGTCTCGGCGCACCCCTCACACAGTCCGTGGCCCCATAGGGAGCTCCACCGAAGGCCCCAGTGGCAGGGTTCGCATGCGCCCCCCCGCCCATTTCGGCACACCCCTCACGCGGTTCGTGGCCCCATGCAAGGGGGCCCCACCAAAGGCCCCAGCGGCAGGGTCCGCATGCGCCCCCCCGCCCATTTCGGCACACCCCTCACGAGGCTCGTTGCCCGACGGGGAGCTCCACCGAAGGCCCTAGCGGCAGGGTTCGCATGCGTTCCCCCCGCCCATTTCGGCACACCCCTCGCACGGTTCGTGGCCCCATAAGGAGCTCCACCGAAGGCCCCAGCGGCAGGGTCCGCATGCGTCCCCCGCACATTTCGGCACACCCCGCGCACGGTTCGTGGCCCCATCGGGGCTCCACCGAAGGCCCCAGTAGCAGGGCTCGCATGCGCCCCCCCGCTCGTTTCAGCACACCCCTCACGAGGATCGTGGTTCCACAGGGAGCTCCACCGAAGGCCCCAGCGGCAGGGTCCGCATGCGCCCCCCCGCTCATTTCGGCACACCCCTCACACGTTCCGTGTCCCCATAAGGGGGCTCCACCTAAGGCCCTAGCGGCAGGGTCCGCATGCGCCCCCCCCCGCACATTTCGGCACACCCATCATTCGGATCGTGTCCTCCATAGGGAGCTCCACAGAAGGCCCCAGCGGCGCAGGCCGCATGCCCCCCCCCGCTCATTTCGGCACACCCCTCACGAGGATCGTGGCCCATAAGGGGGCTCCACCGGAGGCCTCAGCGGCAGGGTCCGCATGCGTCCCCCCGCTCATTTCGGCACACCCTTCGCGAGGCTCGTGGCACGATAGGGAGCTCCACCAAAGG